TTCTACGGAAGAGGAGCCGCATCTGCGGAACCTGGGCTCCTCCCCTTGGGTCGCATCTGCGATGATTTAGCCGCTTCTGCGGGCTCGCACCTACGGCTGGCCAACCGCAGGTGCGGTTATGACAGCAACTGGAGCTTCAACTCCTTCTCAAATTTTTTAACTTAGCTCGGGCCTCGTTCGATTGACGCTCGGGGCCCCCGGGACCCCGCCCGAACATACCGAGAAGTTTGGAATCCTAAAACGGACTCGCTCGAACCCTCGGAACGCCCGAAACAACATTAAATCTAAGAATCACACCCTAAAACAAATTGAATCAAACTTATGAACTCCAAGTTCTTCAATCTACTTCTAATGTGCCAAAACGTACTTATACTGCTCGGAATGATACCAAATTTTGCATGCAAGTCTTAAATGACATTATGTAACTATTCCCAGTCTCGGAAATCCGTTCGGACCTTGGTATCACAAAAATCCTCCCCAAACCAAATTTAAAGAACTTCAAAATCCTTAAGGAATCAACTTTCGCTATTAGGTGCCAAAACGCTCCCGGTCACCCAAAACTCGATCCGGACATACGCCCAAGTCCAAAATCATCATACGAACCTGTTGGAACCTTCAAATCCCGATTCCGAGGTCGTTTACTCGAAATGTTGACCGAAGTCAAACTTGGCCTTTTAAGCCAACCTTAAGGGACCAAGTGTTCTGATTTCAACCCAAACTCTTCCAAATCCCGAACCAACCATCCCCGCAAGTCATAATTCAGTAAAAGCAGGTACAGAAAGTCTTATTTAGGGGAACGGGATTCTAGAAAGCAAAATGACCAGTCGGGTCGTTACAAAATCAGTCATTATTCAACATTCACCCAAATGACCAAGAGATAAGCAAAGTTTATTTTTAGATCATAAAGTATTTTCACCAAAATGCAATATGCTTTGGCTCTCCAATATATATATTGTCGACACAAGAATCACAAATTTTGTAAGGCTCTTCCATATTGACATTAGAAAATCATTTCAGCGAGGCAAGGGCGGAAAAAATAGTAGACAATAATATACATATATGAGTTCTTTTAGATATATGTATAATAACCATTTTGATAAAGTCAGATTTAGAATCACTCAATAGTTCACTTATGATCTCTAGCAACATAAATAAACTGTAAAATATTGATGCATTAGAAAATTAAGTTTTATCACTGCTCAAAACAAATAATATATTGCCTCTTTAAAAGTTTAAGAGAGGAAATTCAAAACATTCAAGATAAAGAAAACTACAAAAGCATCACTTATAAGACTAAAGAGTTAACATGCATTTTCTTTCATAATACAAAATGCACATAAATTATAACAAGTTACAAATCGATATTAGTAAATAACGCACAGCCCGAAACACTAATAAAATTAGAAAGAAATTATATGTATATTCTTAACGTCAAAGTTTATCTGCCTATAATATTCTTACGAGAATAAGCATAAAAGAATAAGAGGTATCAGTTCAATTACGCGTACTTGACACTTAGATATAATGTTACGCAAAAATATATCATGTGAAAGATATTATCGTACGTCAGCCAATCAGAATTACATAAGTAGTATTCTCCATAATCCAATATATAATCGTAACATGTGAAATATTATCACTTGGAATAGTAGGAGCATCAGAAATATTCTCAAATTTTAAAGGAAAAATATTTTCAAAAAATTCAGCATTTTTTGTTTCAACAATAGCATTTTGTTCAAGCACATCACTTTTGACTACTAAAAATCTATATGCTGCACTACTTTCAGCATACTCAATAAACATACAATCAGATATTTTAGACCCTATTTTCCTTTTCTTAGGATCGGGTAACATAACTTTTGCAAGGCACCCACACTTTCAAATATTTCAAGTTAGGCGGATAGCCTTTGAGTTTTACCCATTTTCTTATAGGGAATCATATTTTGTAAATGACTAGCAGATAATATGGCTTCACCCCAAATATTATCCAGGGCACCAGAACTAACAAGCATGCTATTCATCATTTCCTTTAAGGTCCTATTTTTCCTTCCTGCTACACCATTTGATTGTGGAGAATATGGAGGTATTATCTCATCCCGATATTGCATATGTTGTGTGTAGATTGAGTAGATAAAATCAAAACCTGAGTCATGATCATTGGAATGCATTAGTAAGAGTAATGAAATATTTGAGAGGCACCATGAATTATGGTATCAAATATAGTGGATTTCCCACTGTATTAGAAGGATATAGTGATGCTAACTGGATCTCTGATTCAGATGAGACAAAATTCACTAGTGATTATGTGTTCACCCTCGGTGGAGGTCCTGTGGCATGAAAATCAGCTAAACAAACAACAATAGCTAGATCTGCCATGAAATCTGAGTTTTGTGGCATTGGAATTGGCTAGCAATGAGGCCGAGTGGTTAAAGAACCTTTTGGCAAGTATTCCACTAGGAATAAAACCGACACCTTCTATCTTGATACATTGTGATTGCCAGGCTGCAATAGCAATTGCTAAAAATAAATCCTTCAATGGGAATAGTAGACATATCCGACTGAGACATAATGTGATAGAGCAGTTGCTGAAAGATGAACTTATTTCCATAGATTAATTGAAGTCAGAAGTGCATTTGGCTAATCCTCTGATTAAACCTTTGGGAAGAAAATTAATATCTGAAACATCGAGGGTGGGACTATTGGCAATTTGAGTTATATCAACAATGAATGGTAACCCAACCTATGTGATTGGAGATCCCATGAAGTAGGTTCATATAGGTAATAACAAATCATTAATTGATTAAAATATGCACTATTAAATTATGTCCCTTCCTATGGTGTGTGTAAATAGTGCAAGACTGCAAGGAATGGGAAGCCAAGTTATTAAACTCTTAATCCAATAACCCATAGCATTTTATAGGCGGTGTATTGTGCTGCAGAATACACTTGATGGATGGACCTATATGAGTGTGGAGTGGGGCCGCTCCTATGAAATTTATGGCAAAATTTTCTAGAGCACTCATAAAAACCGGGCGCGCGCATGGCCTATTAGCGCAAAACCGCAATAAACAACAAAGTGTGTGCGGGTGTAATATGATAGATTAGACACTAAACTTACAAAAGAATTCTTGGTTCATAGAAGTTTTGAATTTCACCAATTGTTCTGTAAATTTAATCTTATTTTATCTAGGTTTGGTTCTCCAAGAGACACCAGATTCGACGCATTATGCTCATTTGTGAAAACCCAGCAAATTATTTTATTATTTCATTATTTTTTTAATATTCTATTTGAGGTATGTGGGTGATTGATAGAAAAATACTTTTGATATCTCAAAAAGAAATATTCTAAAACTATGTTTAGATTCATTTTCTTACTATTATATTAATAAGTCATTATTATAGTAATTACTTTAAATATATTTGTAACAGAAAATTAGTTTAATTTTGTATTCAATTGGGACAAAATTAATTTGGCTATTTAATGAGATTTGAACGTTACTTTTGGTTACAACCGTTTGGCATATTGAGTAGCCTTAATCTTAATGGCTATAAAATTTCTTAACGTCTATTACATTAAGCCTTCATGGCTTAAATTTTCATCAGATGTTCATATTGTTTGTGGACTATATATATATATATATATATATATATATATATATATATATATATATATAGAGCTTTGTGATCATTTTGATGTATGAAAAAAGTGTGAAAAAAGTAAAAACTTTTCTCTCCTTTTCTTTTGTGCTGGGTTTTCTTTTATACAATCTTTGTTGTTTCTGTTTCTAGTTATACTAGAAGAGCTTGTTGAATCCTGGGGGATACGCGTAATAATATTATCATGGTATGGGCGAATATCCTTAAAGACAGTGTCTTTGACACGCCTCAAGTTAAATCTTATTCTCCATAATAAAGGACCACGCAATACATCCCCGGGAAATCGCTAGGGACTCAGCAACCCGGGGTACTAAGCTCCTGCTATGCGCGGGTCTGGAGAAAGGCCGGACCATAAGAGTCTATTGTACGCAAACTTACCCTGTTGCAAGACGTTGTTTTCACGGCTCGAACCCGTCATCTCCTGGTCATATTGCAGCAACTTTACCAGTTACGCCAAGACTTCCCTTCTCACTAGGGACTCGGCAACGGCGGGGAAATGGAATTTTGATTTATTATATTCATAAAAATCGATTATATTCACAGAAAAAGCCGCCGGAAGCCCACCCGGCCACCCCCTTTTCTATATAGCGACATAACCATAACACGCTTCTTCTGGAAATTAAGATCATAAATCTGATTGACTATAAGCAAGAATGTGACTACTACCTGAATAAGTCAAGAAGAAAAAAGCTGCAAATGATGGAAGAATGATCAAACTGGGAGATAATAGGATCACTACTTTATTGGGGAGAAGATTATCTTAGTATAACATTCTGTTTATAAAAAATGTACTGCTTTCTTCATGGTCATGCTTTTAAAAATTTCTATCCAATATCTCTATGTTGCAAGTATGCAAGTAGCATTTAAGAACAATACAGGTTAAATAATTGTGCCTTTGGTCACAGTTTCCTGTAGTTAGTTTGAGTAGTTATTAATGTCAACCATCTACATGCCTTTCCCACTGTAACAAAGTGTTTAAGATGATGAGCTAAAATTTACTCAATATTCTTTTGTAACCAATTTGTATCAAAAATTAAAACAAAAGTGCTACATGGAGCTGACTACAATAACAATTTTCTACAGGTTGTTTTTGTGACAGCCATTGGAGAAAAGTCTAACCTTTATTTAATAATTAAAGCTTGCGTATGTTGATCCTACGAGTGTACAACTCGGATGGCCCTTAAAGTGAATCTTGGGGTAATCTAGAATAATACATTACAATAAACAATCCAGTGAATTATTGAATCTGAATGAGTTTCTCTATTCCTTGGGAGCCACAACTGTTATTTCACAATTTATTAATCCACTTTGAAAAGTCTTAAAATTTCTTTAAATACAGGATTCTCTTTCAGTTTTTAAAGTAGGAAAAAACAAAAGAAAAGAGAAGTTGACGAAATGGGTATCTGCATATCCAGTGAATCTTTTGGGGTTCATGCTATTGATTATGGCCATGAAAATGTGGTTCAGTATGAAGACAACAACAACAATGGATACCAACAAATTGGTTCAGTTTATTCACATCAAGGAAGCAAAGGACTCAATCAAGATTCTGCTATTCTCTATCAGGTTTCTCATTACTCCCTCTTTTATTTGCATGTTTGCCTGAGTTTTATTCCTAAAAATGGAAACTTTCCTTTTCTGGCAGGGGTTTGGTGTAGAAAATGGAGCATTCAGTGGAGTTTTTGATGGACATGGAAAGAATGGACAGATAGTCAGCAAATTAGTTATGAATAAGTTGCCATCTTTGCTTCTGAAACATACACTTTCTCTGCCAAAGATCACTTCTCCAATACAAACAGTGAAAGTTGTTAACGCCGAATCAGTGAAGAACAAGAATTTTAACAAGTGGAAAAAGGCTTGTCTCAGCTCCTTTAAGGTGGTGGATAAAGATATTAAAAGTCTTGAGAAATTGGACTTTTCTTGTAGTGGAACAACTGCTGTTGTTGCTATAAGACAGGTAATGAGAAAGTCTTCTATGATCATTCAGTAATCTTGAACTTCGTTCGAATTAAGGCAATTTTGTTGTTCTAACTGCTTATATATTAACAGGATGATGACTTGATTATAGCTAATCTTGGCGATTCTCGAGCTGTATTAGGAAGAAAGACAGAAGAGGGAACAATTGAGGCTGTTCAGTTAACTACTGATTTGAAGCCTAGCCTGCCTTGTAGGACTTTTTTTCCTGACTATTTGACATGATACTAAAGTCACAGTTCAGTTCCAAAAATGTGCATACTAACACCAAGTTAAAAAATTCTTTGATGCAGCTGAAGCAGAAAGAATAAGGAATTGCGGAGGAAGAGTGCTTGCACTGGAAAAAGAGGCACATATACAGAGAGTGTGGTTACCAAATGAAGACGCTCCTGGACTCGCCATGTCTAGAGCTTTCGGAGATTTCATGCTCAAAAACTATGGTATTATCTCCAGGCCTGATGTCTCCTATCACCATCTTTCTCCCAATGATCAGTTTCTTGTTCTAGCATCCGATGGGGTAAGCCGATACTGACTATGTAGTTTCTGTTTGGTTTCTCGTCTTTCAAATCGAGTCACCATTTCTCTGTTTCTATAAAACTTGACATATCCTGTTTTCATTGTAACATTAGGTATGGGATGTGCTTAGTAATGACCAAGTCGTTTCCATAGTGTGTTCAACGAAGGATGGAGCAGCAGCCGCGAAGGCAGTGATAGAGGCTTCCATAGATGCCTGGAAGCAGAAATTTCCTAATACCAAGAGAGATGATTGCACTGCAATCTGCCTATTCTTGCAACAACGTGCATCACTGCAAAATAGTACTTGACTATGGCAGACTGCAAAAGCCACAGCTATACAGAAGTTCCCTGTACTTGAGCTACTATAATTTTGGGTTCTGCTGTTGAAATTTAGCAATATAGTTAAGAACAATCAACCAGATTTTCAAATCTGTGATCAATAATTTGGAGTCCAATGTAGGAAGACTTAATCTCTTGCGAGTTGCAAGTTGCGAGTGTGTGCATAGACATATTAGATAAGACCTGTTTCCAGGTTGAGAAATAAGGATAAAGAGGAACCAACAAAAGAATTGAGCATTGCTCACCATATTATTACTTGGTTATCAACAATACCCAAGAGGTCTCAGGCACCAGGCAACACTTACGCCCATGATTTCACAAGTTTCATTCAAAAGAATCAGACAAAATCAATCCTTAATGTTAGCAAGCAACGACTTCTTTCCATTCTTCAAGGAAATTTCGAAATTTTAATTTGACTTGGAACAATTTCGGGCCACAGCAAAGATATGTATTTACTCTGATTAAGAATGAACAAAATGAAAGGGAACAGTTCCACGGGATCTAGGAGTTCATAAGTGAATTCAACTTGAAACGCCATACAAGGCTTTATCAAAAATCAAGTTGATTCATTTCAGTCCCCTAGTCTAAGCTGATAGTCATATGCAACTCGCATTGAGTTATATTTCAGACCGCCTCATTCCACAATATCATATGAGCTATTTTCAAAAGGTCTTAAGCCAATGGATCCCTTGATTCCCTTCCTTCATCAATTCCTTCAAATATATCATCATACGTGATGGGCACCCTTATTCTGTCATGAACAGATGTACGTTTGGCTCCACTATTTGACTGCTCAACAGGACCTTGTTGCAGCAAAACATCGTTAGAATTAGCTATAGTCTTGTCTCCCATAGTGCTCTGGCTAGATCTCTCAAAAGAAGCTTCATTATTTGGGAGTGGTTCTTGCTTGAGCTTAGCCTGCTTAAATTGCTTCTGCAATTATTTTTGAAATGAAGCTCTTAATGACACTGGTATATAGATGCATAATAGGAGAAGCAACCAGCAGACTGACGGTTTAAATTATATATGCAATTGCTTACAAATACAGCATGCTATCAATGAAAGATCACTAGAATTACGAGAAATAGCAAAAACACTAGGTAAGATAAATATAGTCCTCGCAACAAGAATAACCATGGCTATCCAAGGGCTGGAGGCTTTCCCCAACAACTGTGCATTTTAATTTCGAGGAAGTGATACTAGAGCACAACAGAAGTAATCACTTAACATTCAAACATTTTTCTTAAATTACTAACATGACCAAATATGCAGTTTGAAAATTAGAGCATTACAGTAGTGCAACGAGCAGAGATACATTGGTTTTTTTCATAATATTTGACTTGAACTAAATAATATAGAGTGGAGTCAAACAATATATAAAGATATATCTCATCTTAACTTACCAAATAAGAAAGTAAACCTTACAAACACCTCCATGTAGCCTTTATTAAAGGTTCTTTCTTTTTTTGATTGGTATTAAAGGTTATTTCTTTTCTTCAAGGTTATTAAAGGTTCTTTCTTCTCTTCAAGGTTACCTGCTATATCTTTTCTTTAATTTGAGAGTAGGTAGAGCAAACTCTTCATCACAGTCGAAAATATTCATGTTTACTGAACCTGATGATGGAACTCATGATCTTTCCAGGTTGGGCCACAAAATTGCCACATGCACAGGGAATAACTATGAACAAGATAAACCCTAAAGAATTATAACCCACCTCAAACTCCTGCCCTTTCTTCATTATCTCTTTGTATGCATTTGGATCTCGCACTTTAAGGATGCTCCATAATATCCCACCGCCTGTTCGGAAACGCCTGCCATCAGCAGTCTTCTGGCCACCACAATTCTGAATTGCATCCACCTGTAAATTTCAGCATCATTAACTGACTCACAATTGAACTTGGAACTTAAAATTTATGAGAAAATTAGAAATTTTCGCTTTAATTGCGCACTAGATATGCAGGAAAAGGGGCATGATGACCGTATAACTCATTGGCCAGAGAACAATAAACATTAACACATACATGCAATCCTTCATTAACAAAAGGTCCACTTAAGGTTTTTTTTCCTGGACAGGCAAATATCATCTTCATAAGCAAACAGGCTCCGGAGCAAATTCCAATCATAACACTCAGAAGCTCTGCATCTGCCAAAATCCAGAACTTAGTTCTATTCGGGCCTAACTTGTTCACTTAACCAAAAAAAAAACCTTTGCAAAAAACATACTCACCAGACCCTCATAACCATGAGAACCCCCAAGGAATCATACCAACCTAGTACTCACATGCAACAGCCATATACCAGCAATTCGCTGCTAGCTAAGTTCAACCAAACATGTCCAACTGACGATTGAATAGAATAATTTACCCTCTCCCGTTTAGCCATAGGTTGTTTTCACTTTTTTTTTTAAAACATTTTGAAAACATTGTTTGGTCATAAGAAGTGACCAGTTTTGGGCAGTTTTCGAAGATGAATTTTTCAAGTTCCAAAAAGTGGTTTCGACTAGCTTTTCAAGTTTTTGAAGTTTACTACTCACAAAACTTCAACTTCTTTTCAAGTAAAATGCATGCCCAAAAACTATTTTCCATTTCATCTTCAAAAACTATTTTTTTTAAGTTCCAACCAAATCTATGTCCAAATGCTATAATGAAAAATACAGCTTTAACTAGAGAATTAAAAATTTGAACAATGATATTTTACACTTTTGCAGGATATTCACAGAAAAGAGTCTCCGACTCATTCCAATATGAGAAATTAAGGGTGTCACACACCAACAAAACTTGTATGAGGCCTTTCCTTTCATAGACATGGACTGTGGCTCTCAATAATCAGTTTCTTCCTTACCCATCTTCTCCTGTTTCTCTTACCTCCACCCTTGCCAATTGTCCTCCTTATCCATCCTCTCCTGTTTCTCTTTTCCACCCTTGCCGATCCTCCTTTATCTTTCATAAATTCACTCATAGAAATTTGCCATTTCCGCACCTTCTTCATTTTTATTATGGTCTAGTATGTTGTACCAATATCAATAGCAAAAGCTCATCAAATTGCACCGAAGGTTTAAGTCTGGATTTCTTGTATATGCCTAAGCAGTTGACCTTGCTTTGAACTCAAATTTCTGTTCGGTGACTGTGATTTTGTGTTGGAGAAACCACTGCTTAGTCTGTTTTCATATTAGCCTTTGCTTTGATCTTTTCTTTTTTCCTTTTCCCTTTTCTGTTTAATCTTTTTTTTACCTTGGAAGAGAGATAAATATATATAGACTAATGAGGGAGTGAAAAGAGGATAGAAAATTCAGGATAGAAAAACTAGGAAATGAGCTAAAACCAATAGATTGCCAAGGGGGGTTCTCTCTGCTTATGACCATGTAAAGACTACAAACGAAATGATTGCCAGGTGCAGGGATGACGAACTTAAAAGAACAGAATTAGAGTGGAAGAATAAGCAGGGATAAAGATATACAAAGAGATTTACTGACATCTTTCCTAGAAAGGGGCTAAAAGTGTAGTCCCTGAAACTCTTAAACAAGAGAGTAAATAGGAAAGAAATGGTGAACTGGTAGGGGAAAAAGAGAGAGTAAGCAAGAACTAGGGTGATCCATAACTCCAGATGGCCTCACACTTATTTGCTGGTTTATATTTCACATGATATAAGATTTCTCTTCCAACATACCCCGATGCAAACTCTTGTTTGAAAAAGATAACCCACTGCAAACTCCCTTCAACTTCTGTTTAATGAGTGATTTTTAATATTTTTGTAGCATACAAATCAGGTAAAATATCTACCACATACTCCAACAAACCCAAAGGTAGACAATCTCTCTCCAATGCTCTTATTTATAATTATTACTTTGAAAAAAAACAATGAATCTTATAAGTACACTAAACCAGAAACCTAGACAAAAAGATGGGTTTCCAGCAAGTTCATTCAATATAAATAAGAAAACATCCAATCAACCAGAAACTTCATCTCCATAATTAATACCATACAGCGCTACTTTGATCATCTCCTTGTGAGTGCTCGTTAAGTTTAGATAAATTAAAGCAATTCCCACACACTGATGCTCTAGCAATTTTCTAACCAGGCAACTCTTTCTGTCAAAATCCAATCAAAATAAAAAGGGAGGCAGCAAGCAAAAGGTTCTAACTGACTTGGGGAAAAGGTAACCAATTAATTACGACATTTTGTCAAATCAACACACATTCAATTTCATCACTGAAGCTCAGAGCCTTTATTTTTGCGGAGTCGTTCAGCACATTGGGACAAATAGGAATAACTAGTAAATTCAACATTGGGAAAGCGCCTCCACCTAATCCTTAAGCCGTCATCCCCCTTCCTCGTTGACCATTTTGCTATCCTCCAACTCTACTTTCTACACTCCTCCACCACCTCTCTAACTCCGACAAGAAAAATAAAGGAGGGAAAAGAGAAAGAAGAAGAAGATGCAAATTTTCTGCATATTGCATTGCCATGTGCATACCATAGGGTAGAACAGCAAACAGGCAAACCATTAGAATCAACCTAAATAGAACACCACAAAGTAGTTTAGCCAGAAGCTATCTTGGAAGAGAGGTCCATGGTACCGAAAGCAGTGAAAATGGCTTCAACACGAGGCATCTGCGAGTGTAGGACAACAACATTGAGCATCAGAAACTACAAAAAGCAGTAGACCTTGAATAAATCGTGTTAGAAAGTCAGGCCCATCTCTCACCTCTTAGCAACACTGAGTAATTCTTTCTCACCCGAGATCAAGGGGTAGATAAATTATAGAATGCCCAATCTCTGGTAGCTAAAGAAATAAATAAAAGATCATCTTTATGAGTACTAAGATGGATGTCATAAGCTTCAGCGAATATGAAGGGAAGGCAAGCAGTTGTGAGGTGATTCATCAACCATATTAGACCTTACCAACTCAAGAAATCCAACTTCGGGGTATGTGTGACAATAAAAATTAAATTGACTTATTTAGTATTTTTTGGGGGGTGGGCAGATTGGTGAAGTTATGCTCACCCTACTTGTCTAAATTCAAAAGTAAACTAATGGGTTAAACCACTCATCAAAAATCATCATTTAAGAAAACAAGCATAAAGAACAAAAAGCATACCTCTTTGACAAGATCACTCAAAGCAGATACTCCAAGGCAACCAACCGCAGTCCATATGAGATAAGATTTCCGTTCTCTCAAGCGTTTACAGACATCCAATACAAATCTGAAGACAAAAATTCAAAGAGAAAGTCAAAGCCTGCTACATTTCGACAACAAATAATAAAGATGCTAATTCTTGTAAAAGACTAGTATATACAAAATGAAGCAACAACTTTGACCAAAAGGTTAGCCTTTGACACAACTTATATATGGCTAGATTAGAAAACAAAATACATCCATGCATCAGTTATGTGGTATCCAACTAAAAAGATAATTATCTTCCCTTCATCAACATAGATCAAGCTCAATAATGCTTTCTGTATGGAAATAAACATAATATACATATGGTGATAAGCAAAACAAAGCTTCTTTTTCCCTCTTTTAAAGGTATAATGAGTATGGTTAGCGTAACAAACCTGTTAATATCTGTGACCTTTGGACCTGAAAAACCTCTCTTACGCTTGTTCTTCCTCTTGTTTTTCTTGCGTCTCTGATTTTTATTGCCTGAAACAGGATTATTCGAACTAGCACATGCATCACCACTTTCCTCTAATCCAGTCTTAGAAATCCTCTCAACCAATTCTCCTTCCTCAATATCATTCATTTTAACATCATCATCCTCGAAGCTCTCCTCTTCATCTGAGAAATCTAAAATGCTATCCTCTAGATCCATCAAATTATAAAGCCTGCAAGAGATTTAAAGAAATGTTATCCCTCTACAATGCCAAAAAGGATGTTACATGCATAAGGGTAGTGAAGTATGCTGCAATGCAGTGGGACTAATATGTGAATGTGATAGAGGTATATCAACACAAGCAGCAGAAGGCAAGGCGGAAAGTATTCGCTTGGCACTATAGCAATCCATATAACACTCCAAAATACTTAAAACATGTAATGAGAATTAGTTGAAAAACTGTATAGCAACCAAGGATAACCACCTAGAAAATTATAAGATGTGATAAAATAATCAATCATTTAAATGTCCAGTAACCGCCAAAGGAAAGCTCAATTTGTTCCACTTTAATTTTGAAAGTGTACTCTGTTTCAGCAGCACTGTTTTACATGGTTACACCAGCTTTTTAAGTAAGAAGCTTAATCTGTGGCCCCCTGCTCTTGCACCCAGATAAGAGCCAAACTATGCTGCATGGCCCCAAGCCAAGACTAGTATTTCTAATTTATGTTCAGACAACTCATATGAATTTTACTTATTCAGATAAATTTGTTAATTATACTAATTACAAGTATGCTTTGGACCTCCCTAAAGTCTTCCAACTATCTATCCAACTTAGAATTTCTTCTTTCTCAGAATAAAAACAATAAAATTGAAATCTGAGAGAAATTTTTGTGATAACACTAGATTTTTATGGGACTAGTGTTTCTACTCTTTTGGTAGTTTCTACTGAGGAATCCGCATGAAGTATCCAAAACCTTGTTATTCCTGTTTGAAAAAGATCTGTCAAGAGTCAAGACAGATTGGAGTCAATAAACATAAATTGTAAGCATGATAAGCCATTTCGAGCTGAAGCTTTAGCAAATTATTTATTCACCCTCTCTAGTTCTCTTTTCCTCAGCTATCTATAGTCCTATCCGGAAGTTAGTAATAATGGACTATGGAGATTACTGGAGTTATATTTTTATCTTCAATGTGCAACTATAACAGTTCAGAGCATTCCTATTTTCATTTTCTTCCTCTCCATTCTAAAAATTCCTTCTCTAACAATTTTATTTTGTTTTTCTCTTTCTTTACAGACCGATTTCTAAATCAATCAATATACTATTCATCGATCCCAAACTAGTTAGACTTAGCTACACGAATCCTCTATGTCTGTACTGTTCCACACCCTATTTCTGAGTCTCAAAAATTACTAGATTCCAAAACAGGTGTTCCTCTTGCAAATGAAACACTCAGAATAGGAAGAAAAAAAAAGGAGAAGAAAAATAAAACAGAATGAACTATAGTAATGAATGATCGAGTCTCCCATAACTTGCTCAAAGCTTCAAAATATTCTCCGGGAAGAGATACACTCCAAAGAAAATCATGCAATGAACGCAATACACATTAAAAATTAAAATCAAATGAAGGTGCAGTAATTATCTATTGTTCATTCAATTTATGACAAAAACAAACACAAATAAATTCATCTATTGATTTGACTATTATCAAGTTGGAATGAACTCACAAACAGAGAGAAAAACAAGTACTTAGTCTTTTGATTTTTCGATTCATGCTTCCAAATTATAAACCCTAGAAAAACTGCAGATGGTACAAATGCATTTAGGAATGGCAGGCGGTGCGGGGCGGGGCGGGTGCAGGGCGGGTTATGTCTGAACCCGCACAATTTAAACCGGCCCTGCCCTGCCCTGCCCTGCATAGGATTTAAACCCGCCCCGCCCTGCAAATTTTTTTTTTGCTGTATTCTCAGTCTTACATTTGTCATAGTTTTATCTACGGAAAAGATGTATGATCACAAGGAAACCTTTATACTCTAATATGCATATCTATAGTTCCAGTTTTTGGTTGATTTTAACTAGCTCCGTCACATACTAAAAGATACATAATAATATGTTTACCCTCTCAATGTTAACGTGCTTTACTTAATGCCTATTGGAGTTTGTAATGCCGTTGACAAAAGAGGACCCAGATAGAGAAATAGAGCAAAGAACAGAACTAGGATGAAAATCAACTGTACACAGAGGAGAAATTGATCAAAACGTACCTAGCCAGATCGAATGCCAAAAATATTAGGATCAGAGTTAATCTTAACTAGGAGAAATTCAGTGGGGGCGTCGAATTGGGTCTAGAAATTCGGTGTGGACGAGGGACGAGTACCTATTCACTAAGAAGCTGCTCCATATAGACTGCGAGAGACGAGAGGACTAAGGAGCGTCTCTGCGTCTGAGAGAGATGACCCGTTTTAAGTCTGAGTGAAATTGGGACTAGGGTTTTAATATTTAGCCTTTTAAAATTAAATCCACACCCGCGACCCGACCCGCAACCGCAAAGTCTCAAACCCGCACCCGCTAACGTTCAAACCCGCCCCGCCTCGCACCCGCACCGCCCCATTGCCATCCCTTTATACATTATACTGACTAAGAGAAATCATGTAGAAACAGAGGAAATTGAGATGAAACAGGTAGGGTTCAGGAGAAAGGGAAACAAACCTTTGAGTACGTATAACACTGCTTGTGATGAGCGTCTGAGCAATGAGTTCTAGAGGTTGGTGAGCAGAGGTTTATATACTTCCACCTGGGCTTCCTTTTGGGCTTGTTGAACCGATCAGGTGTTGGGCTAGGCCCATTAATAGGCTGGATTTGGTAAGTCAATAGTTTCATGGGCCCAGTACTAATTTAGGCCTAAATATATCTGAATTTACAGTACTGTCGTATTGATGCCTCTGATAGAAATGAGACGCTCCAAAGGGCTGTAGTAATTAGCTAATGTGTCCAGAATTTTACTTTTTCAGTTTACTTTCCTAAACTTTCTGAAATTAAGATTTTTAGTTTAAATTTTTAGGATAAAATAAGTACTAGCTAATCCATAAATAGCAGCCCTAAGAATGTTATTTATGCACTTCCCCCAACTTGTAGGACTGTCCGTAGATTGCTAAACTGGCAATAAATTCTTGAGTAATTAACTTAAATCTGTCATCCGAAGAAATTGTCCGCTATATGAACAACACTATTTATTGTTGAGATAACAACAAACTAAATAGTATTGCATTCTGTTAATAATACTCCCTCCGGTACAAAATAAGTGATTTTTTGAATGTTTTCACACAGATTAAGAAATTCATCTTTTAGCATTAATTAGCAATGAAATTGACCATATTAACCTTTACTATCTCACATAAACACTCCTAACACATACTCCAACACTATTTACTCCAAGGACAATATAGGAAAAAAATAATTAATTCATTCTTGAAATCTGAAAAAATCACTTATTTTGAACCACAAAAAAAAGGCCAAAAAATCACTTATTTTGGACCGGAGGGAGCATATGTATGCATGATAAAAAGAGGTAGAAATAAAACTACAAACTAGAACTCATATAATTTTTGTATGCTACAAAAGAATATGAGAAGTCACTGTAAATAAAGCAGAAAATTTAAAGGCACAATGATTAATACGAGAAGGAGCATAGAAATACATAATAAATAAAAAGAATAAGAAAAAAGGCTAAATTAATGAGTGATAATTTAGAAAATATAAATTTATGGTAAGGATATTTCTTGTCTTCAAAAAAATTAATTTTTGCTTCTGCTTCTTGGAAGAAGCTAGATTTTGTAGCTTCTTCTCAAAAGCAGAAAAGTTGCTTATGCTGCTGCTCATAAGCACTTCTTCGTCTTGGCTGAACACCTCACAAAACTAAAAAAAGTACTTTTAACCTCCCAAAAGTTTGGCTAAACACGCTCTTAGTATATATTAAGAAACTAAATCAAAATAACAATATGAAACAAGAAAATAGACAAGAATGTAGAGAGCAAGAAATGAGAGCTTTTTATTTCTTTCAAGTGTTTCAAGTGTGCTACAAAATGACTTCTCATCATCTATTTATAGTACTACATATAGGTATACCAAAAGAATTTCATAAATATGCCATTAAGCATTTGAGATCATGGTGGAAGATCATGGGGGAGGTGTGGGAGTTACAACCATAACTCCATAAGTATTAGAATAGTGGGAGTTATAGAGATAATGGAGAAGAGTAGTGGGTATTACTCATTTGGTGGTTATGGACATCCACTATAATTATATTTTATAACACTTCCCCTTGGATGTGCATAATAATGTGTCTTGTTAAAACTTTACTAAAAAAAACCCCGTGGAAAAAAATCTTAGTGAAGGAAAAAGAGTACACATATCTTGTAATACGCATTGTTTGCTGCCTCGTTAAAAACCTTGCTAGGAAAACCCAATGGGATAAAACCTCAGCTAAGGAAAAAAGAGTACAGCGCGTATCTTACTCCCCCTGATGAAAACATCACTTTACTTTTCGGAATTGACGCATTCCAATCTCGTATATCAGCTTCTCAAATGTTGGGGTTGGTAATGATTCATTGAACAGATCCACCAAATTATCAATCAAATAAATTTGTTGAACGTCTATATCACCAACTGTCGAAGATCATGTCTGAAAATAACTTTGGTGAAATGTGCTTTATTTTGTTGCCTTCAATATATCCTTCTTCCAATTGAGATAAGCAAACAACATTATCTCCAGTATTATTGGAATCTTCTCTTCAAAGAAAAAATCACACGTCTGTTGTGTTTTGAGTCCCTTGCTTTATCAGTTGCTTATAGTGGCATGACTTGAATAAGTATCAACAATTAACTGTCTTGTAAAATGATAATATGGCAGTACTCTCACATGCAAATAAATTGTTTGAAGAACGAACTTTAGGAAAATGCTTGCATTTGCATAACCAACAAAATCTTGGCAATATTTGTTAGAATAAACAAATCTACATCAAGTATTCCTTTTGAAATATAACACTAATTGTATTCCAATATCTTCACATAGGAATAAAACTATATCTCGCTAACATATTGTTATACTTATGGTTCTAGCCAGATATATTAGTGCACCAATTGCATTAGACACAAAAACAAATCATGTACGCCATGATCGCTCTAATCTACATAAGGATTTGCCGAAGCTTTTGTCACGACCCCAAAACCGACCCGGTCGTAATGGCGCCTATCATGAAACTAGGCGAGCCGACACAATCCCAAATCAAACCAATATTTCAAAAATTAAGACGTTTTAAACTATTAATTAAATAAAATCCCATAACATGAGTCTAAATAACAAGTGCGGAAGAAACATAAGTCCGACATCGGGGTGTCACAAGTCACGAGCATCTACTAAGGTCTGTCTAAATACGACGAAGACTATCACAGTCTGGAAATAAAATACTAAAACAGTCTAAGGAAGATAAGAGGGTGAAGAGCAAGGCTGCGATCGCCATGCAGCTACCTTGCCGACTCCGGGTATCCGCGATGGATGATGGATCAGCGCTCGCTATCAAGTCCCGAAACTCCTGGATCTGCACATAAGGTGCAGGGAGTAATGTGAGTTCGCCAACTCAGTAAGTAATAAAAGTAAATAAAGACTGAGCAGTAAGAAAACACATAAATCCATGTCATAGCACCATAGTAAGTACAGTACGTTTCCAAAACAGTATAGAAATCAATTATCTCGTTAAAATCCAATTTCAGTAAAAATCCTTTGAAAAATGTCTGTCTAACAGTTTCAACAGAGATGCAATGAAGTTTAGAGTAAAATGATAAAATTATATATAGCCCCTCGGGCAAAACATATATCATAAACCGCCCCTCGGGCATAACATCAGTCAGAACCAGCCCCTCAGGCAACCTCACAATCACTCATAGTCAGCCCCCCGGGCACAACATGAATCAAGAACAGCCCCTCGGGCAACATCATATCACTCACTCTGGGTACCCGCACTCACCGGGGATGTACAGACTCCGGAGGGGCTCCTACAGCCCAAGCGTTATCACAAGCCATCTCGTGGCATAATAAATCAGGCACTCGGCCTTTCATATATCACAAAATAGTACAACATGCTGCGACGCGCAGCCGGTCCCATGATATCCTCACAACACAGGCCCTCGGCCTTACTCAGTCAGAAACCTCTCAAGCCACTCAGGCTAATAGTAAAAAAGGATGCTCAGCCCAAAAATATCATTTTATATAACAACGGAATAAATAGGACTGAGTTATGAAATTAGTAAAAAGCATAGCATGACTGAGTACAGATACTAAATTAAAACAGCGAGAAATAGTAGTAAAAATCCCCTAAGGGTCCAAACAGCTTGGCACGAGGCCCAAATATGGCATTCAGCCCAAGCACATAGTAATACTTTCTTACATACGATAGTATCAAGTAGTTTCAGTCAAATATGCAACTTAATAGTTTCTACGGGACGGACCAAGTCACAATCCCCAGCGGTGCACGCCCTCACGCTCGTCATCTAGCATGTGCGTCACCTCAAAATAGTGAACCGAAGTGAACTCGGGGTTTCATAACCTCAGGACAACAATTACAATCATTACTTACCTCAAACCAGACCAAACTCTAACCCGCGATGCCTTTGCCTCTCGACTCGGCCTCCAAATGCTCCGAATCTAACCAAAATCAGTATTACATTATTAATACACGCTAAAGGAACAAAGCTCATGCGAAAATTATCAACTTAAATCAAAATTCCAAAATTGGCCAAACTCGACCCCCTGGCCCACGCCTCGAAATCCGACAAAAATTACAAAACCAGAATCCTTATCCTCTCACGAGTCCATACACACCAAATTTACCAAAATCTAACTTCATTTGACCCCTCAATCGCCCAATTTTAACTCTCAAGTTCCAAGCCCTAATTCCCCAATTTTCACCCTTAAATCTCACAAATTTCATGTTTAATCAACTGAAAATCACCATAGAGTCGAGTTTTAGGTCCAAAAACATTACCTCAACGTGTTTCCCCTTGAATCCCTCTTCAAAATCCCTCAAAAGCTTCAATCCCGACTTCAAAAATGGTAGAAATGGGCAAAAATTTCGCGAAGGGGTCTATTTATACTTTCTGCCCCAGGCATTCCGCACCTGCGGTCCCAGGTGCGCACCTGCGAAAATCACTTAAAGGACCAGGACCGCATCTGTGCCCAGTCACCGCACTTGCGGTGCCGCAGATGCGTCCAAATAACTGCATCTGCGGTTCTTCTCCTGATGGCCAAAACACGCACCTGCAATCTCCTTACCGTATCTGCGACCTCGCACCTGCAGTCCCCATTCCGTAGGTGCGGAAATGACAAAAGCAGCAAAATCTGCAGCAACAACTCAAAGCCAAACTTTCCGTCAACCACCCAAATCCATCCCGAGGCCCTCGGGACCTCAACCAAACATGCAACA